TTTGGCGACAGTGGGAAGGAAAAACTCCCTTTTAACAGGAAGAAACCTCCAGCAGAACCAGGCTCAGGGAGGGGCGGAGCCATCTGCTGTGACCGGTTGGGGTGAGAGAAGGAAGACAGGATAAAAGACATGCTGTGGAAGAGAGACAGAGATTAATAACAGATATGATTCCATGCAGAGAGTCTGTTAATACAAAGGTGCTGCTGTTTCCTGTATTAGCAGCGACCCGATGACTGTGGAGTAAAATCCTCCATGTTTCTGTGTTTTTGGTTAGAACAGGAACTGTTATCATGACGCTCTTGAACCGTGACTGTAAAAAGCATGAAATTGGCCAGATTTAACTCCTTAACTTTAATTGGAGGAAGCCAAATCTGGGAAGTGATGTGCTGAGCAAAGATTACGTCTGTCGGTGTTCAAACGCAGACGTGATCTTTGCTCAGGACGCACAATTTATCTTTAAAAAACACACCTGAATGACTCTTTGACTTGAAGATTTCTGTGGTGTAGATGGAGACTCTGCTCTGAGCACCGGTAATAATTCTCATCTAAAAAGTTTCCAGACTAAATTCCTGGGTAAAAACTGGGAGGTCGTTTAAAAAATGTCAGCGGTACACAAAAGAAATATTTGAACCCAGTGCAGTTTGTTTTCTTCTGAGCAGAGGTTAGTAAGGGCAGCACAGGTGTCTGTTTTGTGGTCCATGCAGAGGCGTTAGAGGACAGTCTGCAGGAGCTGTCGGGATGCTCTGCTCTGCTTCACTTCAAAGTGTAAGAACTTTGTGATCAGCTCTAGAAAGGAGCGAAATGAAGAGAAACAACATGTTTTCACATTTATTGTCAGTAGTGTGGACATGGTGAGTTAAAGGGTCACGTGACTGCTGGCTGACGCTCTCGTTTCTCTGCAGGACGACTGAAGCTGACGGCCTGACGGACGCCGTCGCTGCAGGACGGGCTGCGGGGTGTCAGCCAGCACCCCGAGGCCTCTGCCGCCTCCCTGCTGCTCTTCCTGGATTTATTTCCTCCTTAGCCGACGACAGGAGCAGCAAAAGCGATCAAAGACCGATGGAAACTTTACAGGACAGGACGGTCTTAAATCTGGACAGACTGTCATGAGACGATTGGACTGCTGTGACGTCTGATACGAGCTGACGGGACTCGCGCTCCTCCGTCGGGACTCAAAAGAATCCTTATTAACCCTGAAATCAGTATCTGCTCTCCAATCAGTATTTCTCATCGTTTCTTTGTTGCACTTTAAACTTTTAGATCATTTTCTAACCTGATGATGTGCATAGATGCATAATGTGTTTGTATATTTATGTTTGACATGCTTTAATTTTTTTCTTTTGGAGAATGCGGACACGTGGATTTTTCCGTTTTTGTTTTTTTTGTGATCCAAATTTAATATTTTTTGTCTTCATCTGTTTTTAATCTTTTTTTCTCTGCACCGTGTTCGATGGAGGATTTTGAGGCTGAAACCTTAAAGTGTACTTTTTTTTTTTTTTTTCATAAAGTTGAGATAAATTTAAGGTTTTTTTTTTTTCACGTGTGTTGTGTTCCCATCTGTAGTTTCTGGAGGCTTTCCTCCTTTATCCAATCAGGGTACTCCACTGATCCTAAGCTGTCCAATAGGACGTGAGCAATACGAGGAAGTCTTCTGCTCCTGTGGACGTTCCTTTTATTTCAAACTTCCTTCAGCTCGAAGAACAAAAAGACTCGAATCGTATCTAAACTCATTTCTTCTCTGTGCGCTTCTGCTGTCATCTCTTCACCTGTTTGGAGAAAACAAACCTCCAGGAAACCACTGGTGACCTTTGACCTGAGACAGAACACGTGTAGCTGTTGACTTGGTGCGAAGTGGACTGTTAGCTGTAGCTGTAGTAAACAGGAATGCTTAGAGACGCGATGAGCTGCTGTGTGTTGACCTGATGATCAAACTCTGCTTGCTGTTTTTGTTTTTGTAATTACTTTTTAATAAATGCTCCAGAACAAACACACGTCGCCATCGTGTGGACACAAATATTTAAAAGAGCAGTAACAATGAGTGTTTGACACACCATCACTGTAGATTTGAAAATGACCAAGATGTGAGTTGAGTTAATCTAAAGGGCGTTAATAAAATGACTGAATTAACCACTTTTTTCCCCCTAGCGCCACTTTCAGAATCAAATAACTGGACAAACTGAGCTGAGTTTGTGGATTAAACCTCATTTCCTGTCTTTGCCTCCAATGTTCCCACACAGCTTAAATCACATTTAAGGATCGCATCAGTCAGGAAGGCTTTAGACAGAAGGTGAATGATCATTTCTACCTGCAGTAATTGGCTCCAACTCGATGTCACCTGTTGTTGACACCTCAGTTCTTCAGGCTGGCGGAATAGGAGAAGGTGGGCTGCAAAGCGGCTTGCAGGTGCAGAGATTTGTTTAGGATGTGTAGATTTGCCAGGGCGGTCACAGAGTTTGGCTGGACTGGATTAATTAACTTTGAGGTGCTTCAAAGTGCCCCAGGGCAGCTGTGGCTACAACTGTAGCTTGCCTCCACCAGTGTGTGAATGTGAGAGTGAATGGGTGGATGACTGGACGTGTAAAAGCGCTTTGGGGTCCCTAGGCGGGACTAGTAAAAAGCGCTATACAAATACAGGCCATTTACCATTTACCATTCAGGACGTTTCAGCTCTCACCCAAAAGACTTTCTCACGCCTAACCGCTAACGCTAACCTTGGAGCTGGTCCTGAGAGTTGTCATATGACTCATTGTAGACACGTGGAGTAAGGTGCGATCTGGTGTGATTGATGAATCTGGTGGCTGATAGCTGGCGCTTGGAAATAATTTCAGGTGGACACGGAGAGACCCAGGCGTTTAATCTCTAGTGTCAGCTGCTTTATCTATAGAGACGCCATCGTTCAGCTTCTAGATTTGAAAAAGTTTTTTTAGATGTGAGACGGGAAAACCCTGAATGATCGGGAACATTCAATTCAATTTTATTTATAAAGTGCCAAATCACAGCGGTCCTCTCATTGGAAGAGCCAGAGATAACTGAACTCAACCATGCTAACCTTCTCTCCTTTGCTTTAGC